GCGACATAGTCGAATTCAACTTAAAGTGGCTCGTAGAAATTGCATCGTCGCTGCGGCGGTCGGCATTGGAGACTGCGTACCACCAAGTGCTCCAAGGCGTCAATCACATCGAAGCGGCGCGACTCACTCACACTCGTTGTCTCGTCCCTTCTCTCGTCGTACTCGCAGCCGGCGGCGCCAGCGCGCTCGTCCAAGCGCTACTGGTTCATTTTACGCATTTCGCGCCGTCGGCAAGTTCATGCGGCGCCTCAAGCGACACCGCGGCGTGCTGACGTGGATTGGAAACGACCAAGCACCCGCGCTTCTGATGAAGTGCACGCTGCGCGCCCATTGGGACAGCGCTCAAGTCGGATTTGACGACTTTTCGTTCAACATCTTTACGTGCCCATTCGACCAGATGCGCCACCTCTGCGTACGAGCTTTCTCGACTGTTCTTGTGTATACAAGATGGTGGCTAGGTCGAAGCCTTTCGAGTCATCGGTGTGTTTGAGACCTTTTTCCGTGCCGCCGGACGTTGGCCTTGCATTCGTGACCCGCGTCCAAGACGGGTACCTCGACAACCCGTACCACTCGTGGTGGCATGGCGTCGACGTCTTCCAGCGCTGCTTTGCGCTACTGAGTCGCTCGTCGCTTCTGTCACTATTGCAGGTCGTTTTTCTATTTTTGATGTTTTTGTCTGACAGACACGCTAGCCGATGCACGTGTTTGCTCTCTTGCTCTCGGCGCTCACACACGATGTGGGCCACCCGGGCACGGACAATGGCTTCGAGTCCGCGACCTTGTCGCCGCTCGCCGTGCGCTACAACGACACATCGGTGCTGGAGCAGCACCACGCCGCCGAGACCTTTCGCATCCTGGGTGACCCCGATTGCAACATTACAGTCGGCTTGTGCCGCATTGCCTTCCAGTCGCTGCGCAAATTTGTCATTGACGCGATCCTGCAGACCGACATGAAGGCCCACTTTGACCTTGTCCACGCCCTCGAAGACGCGGTGTGCATTTGTTTCCTTGAACTATCGCAATGGGTTATCCTCTCGTTGTGTAGCACAACCGCGAGCTCAAGCACATGCCGGCCTTCGACATCGATGATGCGCTGCACGTCAAGAACCTTCTCGGAAGCGTCTTGCATGCGGCCGACATTGGCGCGCAGATGTACCCGGTCGATGTCGCGTGGGAGTGGTACGTACTAGAGTCCTGACATGTTGCATCGGATGCGAGTTGAGTGTGGTAGGTCGCGCCGGCTCGTCGAAGAGTTCGCGCTTTTGGCAGCGAAAGAACGCAGCGCGGGGATCCCCGTCGCCGTTTTTCGTGCATGTTTGGAGACGGACAAGGACATTGCAACGCTGCAGCTCAATTTTATCAACTACATCGTCACGCCGCTCTGGACACTGCTCATGGAGCTCTTCCCGGCCGCCAAGGTGCTCAAGGCCAACCTCGACTGCAATCGCATGTGCTTTCAGCACGATGTCGCCGACACCGACGTCCACGACAAGGGCCACCGCCGATCGCTCTGCGTGACGCCAACGCTATCGCTAGTTCCGACCACGCGCCTCGCCAAGCGGAGTGCGACGACCCACTTTACCGAGCAAGCGTGCCACGTCATCACCGAGACGCTAATACAACCAACGACGTCCGACTACAAGCGCAATTAATCTAATCGACACTGTCTCTCGACGCGTCTGTCTCGGCTGTAAAGGCGACTTCACCGGCTTTTATTATCGATATCAAACGTACGGCACAAAAGAACCCGCACGCCAGCCATGCTACACCGCACCGAGATGCACGCCTGGACTTGTATCCTGAGCCTCGTACGCGTCATGCGCATGCCCATCTCAGACGACCAACTGTAGGCTGGGTTTTGCCTCGTCTCGAACGCGTGGGTCGACACGAATGCGCGAGACCGCTTGGTGGCGGGGACAGCGCCGGCGCTCGCGACATTTGCTTTGGCCCTCGTCCGCGTCGCGGGGCGCTGCTACAACGGCGTGACACACGTACGCACTGCTTGATGGAGCGCGATGACGTACGAGCTTGCTGTTTAGTTTGTGTTGGTCTACCCCGTCGCGCTCCTTCAGCTTCTTTCGCTGCTGCAGTCGTCGTACCGCTTGGCACTCGTCGCGTGCTGCTGTGATGTGGCTGCCTGGTACGTCAAACACGATGCACCGGTCGGACTAGCTGACCATTTTGGGCTAGTCGCTTGGACCCAGCTCTCTTTGCTCCGTCTCAGTGCGGCGCCGCGTGTTCCATGTACTCTCGATGGTGCTACATCGGCTCGCTGCTTAGCACGCATTTGGATAGACATGGCGTTCGACTGCAGCACTTTGTCGGCTCGCTCCTCTCGTCCAGCGCCCTCGTACGTACAGTTGCATGCAACGCCTATCGTAAATGCTTTTTAGGCGCTGCTTCAATGGCTTGAAGACACTCGCAACCACGAATCCTCAACGTTCATCGTCCAGTATAGTCCGAGCGAGATGCGGGTTCGCGCCACTGACGCCGTACACAGCGCCCACAACTAAGTAGTGCTGATATTGTCTAAAATTGAAATGTATACCAACGTTGCTAGCCACGCCCTTCCAGAAGCTCTTCTGATATGGTTGCTTTGTGTAATATGCCACGTGCTACAGTATATAGACTGTTCTCCGCGCAACGCATCTTCTCGTGCGCTGGCTACGCAAGATTCAAACACGACGAGATGTTGCCTCGTTGAGTAACCATCATGCTCATGCGCGGTACCCCACTCGCTTGGTACCGCTGGAAAGTGACAGCTGTTGTGCGCCGAGCGTACGTCGGTAGTGTCACACTTTACATTCCATGGGTTTGAAAGCGCCAAGCACATTGCTGCAATGTGAATTGTATTTGTAGACGAAAGGATTTCGTGGCCAAGCATGTAGCTGGCTTGATATCACAGTCGTGACGTGGCATGGCGGTGGTGGCGGCAGTACTTCTTAGACGAATTCGAGCGAGGCGTGTGCATACACACCACAAGTCAAACCGATCGTGTTCCGTGGGATAGCCAATCACATCGCACGCTTTCCCGAAAGATCGCCAAATTCGTGCGTTGGTTGCGAATGCATTCAATAAACCTGGCATTTGCATACAAAACGCAAGACAAGATTAAAATTCCGAATTACAGGATTCTCAATTCTCGATTCTCAATTCCAGTTTTGGTGATTCGCATATCATTTCGCAACGAGCCCGCCTCTCACCATGCTCTGCCTCCTCGCCGTGACCCTCGTCTCCGCCGCCATCGGCGCCGCCGACGTCTACCTGACCCTGCGCGCGCAGCAAGCCGCCACTGTCAGCGCACCCGTCGAGGCAGCGCCGACGGCC